CTCGCTCGCTCGCTCGCTCTCGCTCTCTTTGTGTGTTTGCAGTTGTATTATTCGCCCATTGAAAATATGTCTTCTGTAATACTCTTCAAAATTTCAGTTCGATTCCTCTCTCTCTCTCTCTCTCTCTCTCTCTCTCTCTCTCTCTCTCTCTCTCTCTCTCTCTCTCTCAGTTGGCTTAATTGTGTGTTTGCTACCGCCCATCATGGTGCTCATTTCATATCGCAGTGTTTTTGAATAACGATGTTGCGTCGTGCTCTTTCTTATGGTGCTCCACTACTCTCCGAATGCTCAAAATGAGAATGAATCTTCCGCCAGCACATGGAATGATACACAGCCATGTCTTTTGACTTTTGTGCAGGTGGTGCGTACTGCGTAGTGGAGCGAGGCCTTATATCTCTCGTACCAGCCTTCAATATTTCAGCTCGATTCGTCGGGGGGGGGTTTGTCTTTTTTTTTTTTTTTTTTTTTTTTTTTTTTTGGAAAAAGCAAGAAATTCCATTACAAACCATGAGGCCGGGAATTCCTCACAAACAACCCGGCGGACACAGTCACAGTACCGGGACCTTGCCCAGCTTTGGATGGGTTGGATATCCCACGACATGAGGGCTGATGTCCACAGAAGTGGAGCATCCCCTACGACTCTCAAAGGCTTTCCCCTGCAGTTCGACTCAGAAACTAAGTTGCAAAACAGAAAAGAGAGAGGGAATCTATCTAAACAAAATACGTTGTAAGACAACAAAAAAGGGAACTAAACTACTGAGCATCATGATTCACTTACAGTGCAAAACAAACAACAGGTGGAATCTATCTGAGTCCTACTAAGCTTCTATTCCTAAATGACCTGTCTCACTCCAGCTCTCTCCCTGTCTATGCGGCAGGGCGGAGCCTAATTCGGCTCCATAACAGAAATGCCACTATCTTACCCCCATACCCGGCTGCCTCCTACTGCGGAATCTGACCGAGTGTGCCTGGTACGTCTAGCTAGCTAACCACTCTGAGAACGTAACTCCTAAGTCCCCCCCTATCTTCGCTAGTTTGTTCCCCTTTGCCCAGGTGTCTCCAAACCACCTAATGCCCTTGCCCCTCCCGCGGCCTGCAGGAACCTTCCTTCTCCAGTCCGCCAGGATCGTCCTTCTCAGAGGCAGCTTGAACGTGGCCTTGATTTCCTGGTCCGGCATGATCTTCGACTGAAACAGTGTTCTGTTCCTTTCTTTCCAAATCACCGAGAACCCGATTGCTCTCACTGCCTGCGCAGCATACCCCCACCCTTGATTAAGCTGGAACTTATTTGGTATTCCTCCGAGTAGGACCCATGTTCTGTCCCATTTGAATTCCCCTTCTGTGAACTCATCCCACTTTTCCGCCCACCATCTCCATATTCTTAAGGATGCAGGACAGTCCCACCATATGTGGACTGTCGATTCAAAGGTCCAGAGGCATCGCTTACATGATGTTTCCACCTCTAAGCCCCTGCTGAGTAACCAGACCGCCCAAGGAGTGGCCATAAGGGATGCTAACCAGAGCAGAACCGCTGCCCTGGGGAAAGGAGGATTCTCCAATTGCTTCCAACATTTTTCCAGGGAACAGTCTATTGTTTCTGTATCTTCTGTGCATACTTGTGCCCAGCGGGCTGTGGCCGTGCTCAGAGGCGTTCTATGTGCAGCCTGCGTACTGTATTCCATCTGTGTAGAGTAGTCCCATAGCTCTGCGTCCTCCCCCTTAGCTCCCAGCCCTCTCCGTGACCACTGTTTCGGATCAGATCGGAGCTGAGCTAACTTGTCTCCTTTATTCCACACCAATGCCGCCCACTCCCCGTTATCATTCACTGTCTCCCGTATCCGAACTTGGGTTAGTAGTGGCGGCGGTAGAGGTAGTTCCTCCTCTTCAAGTTGGAGCAGCTTATGTGCTGAATCGGCCTCTCTCTGCCAGAGCTGAAAAGTTCTTCTGCCATTCGGTTGGATCTCCACCAACTTCCAAAATTGCCCTTCTTCCTCCAGGGGTTTCTCTGTGCTCCCATTGGTAAACCAAGTGCCCGGCGGGTCGACGCTTGCTGGTTGTAAGATGTTAAGCCAAGATGGCGGAATGGCGGAATGGTGTCTTTAATGGTCAACTTGTCTTCAATGCCCCAGCAGTGTTTCAGTTGAGTTTGCAGTGCCCTCACGGAGCCGGGAGCGCCATTGGCCTGTGTCATAGTCCCAAAGATCTCTCAGTCTTGCTACTCCCTTCTCAATCCAGGAGCGGCCAAAGCTGCCCGCTAATCCATCTGCTCTGAACATCTTTCCGTCTGACCGCCTGATGAGGTTGTTCTCAAAGATGATTTGGGATAGAACCTCTTCTTTTGTCGTCGGTTGTGGCTGGTGGTCTGGTTTCACCTTCCTCCACGCCGCAAGAACAGCTGACCAGAAGGGGGACGATATCCTCCTTCTCAAGTAAGAATCTATCATGATGCAGGTCCATACCTCTTCGGGTCTCATCATTCTTTCTTCAAAATCCTTGTCCCCAAGGACCCCAAGTCTATCCGATGTTTCTCCTTCTGCGTGCATAGAGCCCAAATCACCCATCTTGCCAACACAGCATTAATCTGCTTGGTGGGATCTTTGAGACCTAAACCGCCTTCCTGCTTCGAAGTGGTGATCAGATCCCATGCTACCTTGGTGAGGAAACCAACTTTCTCATCAGCGAAGGGTTTCCACAAAAAGCGGGTGGTTCTTCTCCTTATTATAGCTGTTGTCTTCTGGCCTAAAGGTCTGATGTTCCCAATGTACGAAAGAAGGGCAAACAGTGCTGCATTTACCACCAACGCTCGGCCAAGGAGCGATAGGTGGGGCGCTTTTCCCCAAATAGACGCCCTTTGGAGCACTCGATTCTGCAGCAGCTCGTCTTGTGCTGCAGCACAAGGTTGAAGACTCACTTGGACACCAAGAAAATGCTCTGCCTGATCTTCCTTTATCCTCTTCATCCCCCACTCCACCGCTGGTTGATACTTCATTGGGAACAGGTAAAAAGACTTTGACCAGTTGATTGCTGCCTCCGAGAGAAGTTCGTATTGTTTCAGACATGCTCTTAAGGCTGACAGTGATCCGATCGAGTTTTCCGAGATTGCAAATAAGTCGTCAGCTAGAGCCTTGACCTTGCAAACTCTTGAGTCTGTCTCCAAACCACGAATACTAGCATGAGCTTGAATGTTACTGAGCGGGACTTCTAACTGAATGACAAATAATAATGGGGCAAGGGGACACCCTTGTCTAAGCAATCGGGATAACTGGAACGGGGCAGATCTATGTCCATTCACCATTACCGAAGCAGTGGAGAAAGCATATAGGCCAATTACCCAAGTGCAGAATGGCTCTCCAAATCCCATTTTCCTGAGAGAAGTATGTATGACCAGTTCACTCAGTCATACACCTTCTCCATATCTAACAGCAGGACCATCGTATCAAGATCTTATCCTGCAACTACCTCCAGAGGTTTTATAGCAGTCACTATATTCTCGAAGATTGATCTCCCCTTCACAAATGCCGCTTAATCGTCCTGTACTAGGAGAGGGAGGTACTTGCTGAGACACCTTGCGAGTACCTTGGCTAGGATTTTATAAGAGACATTCAATAGTGAGATTGGCCTCCAATTCCGAATTTTGTTCATATCACTTTCTTAAACATAATCGAAATTACTCCATTACATGCGTTCTTAGGCAGGCAACCTCCCGATAGCATTTCATTATAAATTTCTACTAACACCGAGCCTGTCCATTCCCAATGTGTAATATAAAACTCTACCGGGAGACCGTCATCTCCTGGTGCTTTCCCACTCGCCATCTCTTTGAGGGCGGCCCATGCTTCTTCCTGGGTAATTGGTCGGTCTAGGTCATGACGACCGTGTACTGGCAATCTGACTTTCATGTTGTCCCAGTGATCAGAATCAATTGCTAGGTTAGTATCTGACCCCCGGCCCCCCTCCTCCTGTCGTCTGGAT